GCGGCCTCCAAGACGCCCCACGAGGGCTCCCAGAGGACCCCACAAGAAAGCCCCGAGAGGCAACCATCGTCCCAGTCCCCTTGCAAAGCGTATACTGTCACATGCTCGCCCCTTCGGTCTCAACAGCGTCCAAGACTGCTCAAGAAGCCGCCGGGAAACGCTCCAAGACGGCCCAAGGAACCCCCAAGAGGGCCCCAAGACGGCCCAAGAGTTGCCCAATATGGCCCAACAGGGCCCCCCGGGAGGCAACTCGAATTGACATTTCGAGCCATCCGCCCCGACACACACACACACACACACACACACACACACACACACACACACACACACACACACACACACACACACACACACACACACACACACACACACGCACGCACACACACACACACACACACACGCACACACACACGCACACGCACACGCACACGCACACGCACACGCACACGCACACGCACACGCACACGCACACGCACACGCACACGCACACGCACACGCACACGCACACGCACACGCACACGCACACGCACACGCACACGCACACGCACACGCACACGCACACACGCACACGCACACGCACACGCACACGCACACACACACACACACCACACACACGCACACACACACACACACACACACACACACACACACACACACACACACACACACACACACACACACACACACACAACACACACACACACACACGCACACACACACGCACACGCACACACGCACACGCACACGCACACGCACACGCACACGCACACGCACACGCACACGCACACGCACACGCACACGCACACGCACACGCACACACGCACGCACGCACGCACGCACACGCACGCACACGCACGCACACGCACGCACACGCACGCACACGCACGCACACGCACGCACGCACGCACACGCACACGCACACGCACACACACGCACACTTTTTCCGTCGGCGGCGAGGCGGCGAAGTCCGCTCCAGCGTAACAGCTAGGTAGGGGCAGTCACGGCACCGAGCCGTACGGGGGTGGGAGCAGCGAAAAGCGGACAGTGACACCAACTAGGCAACACACACACACATTCTTTCCCAACCTGCGGCCCCACAAGGCCTCACCCGTAAACTTCTCCATCATCCGGTGCGTCGTCGTCGTCCTCGTCTCGGCTCGCCCACGATCTTGGCGGCGAGCGAGGGGGGGCAGTAAGAAGGGGCGGGGCTTCTCAGAAGGCTCGGAAGTCCCCCGGCCTCCTGAGAAGTTTTCTAGGCCTTCCCCGAAGACACAAAACAACTTCTCAGAAGGCACGAGGGCTTCTGAGAAGTCCCGCCGCCTTCTGAGAAGCCCTTCTCCTTCTCCCTCCCCCCCTCGCTCGCCGCCCACGATCTCTGCCCCCAGCCAGCCCATCGGCGGAACCAGGCAACACACACACACACACGCGTTCTCTCCCAACCCGAGGCCCCACGGGGGGCCCCACCCGTGAACTTCTCCATCGTCTGGTGCCTTCGTTGTCGTCCTCATCTCGGCTCGCCCACGATCTCTGCCCCCAGCCAGCCCATCGGCGGAACTAGGCAACACACCACACACACGCACACACACACACACACACACACACACACACACACACACACACACACACACACACACACACACACGCACGTTCTCTCCCAACCTGAGGCCCCACAGAGCCCCACCCGTGGACTGCTTCCTGGTCCAGTGCTGCGCCGTCGTCCTCCTCATCACCACCGCCGTCGCCCTCTGGGGGTCGGCAGACCGGCGCACGCCTCTCTGTGAGCCTGGGATGCACCTACTGTGCCCCCCCTCCTCCTCCTCCACGACGAAGGAGGGAGGAGTGAGGAGGGAAGGGGGAGGGGGGAGGGGGGGGGAGGGGGGAGGAGGAGGAGGAGGATAAGGAGGAGGAGGAGGAGGAGGAATGGAATGGAATGGAATGGACCTATCGCGAAGCGATGAAAACGTCACCCAATCCGCCACCGAGATCAACTCGGCATTGATGGGGCAAACTACTTCGGCATCTTGCCGTCGTATATATTCTTAAGATATTCGATTCGCTTGGGTGTGGGGGAGGCCAAACAAACACTGCCCAGACCTCTGAGCTGGGCGCTCCCATAGTATCCACACTCATTGCAGAACCACACTTTGAGGCTCTTGTGAAAGAGGAGACTGTGACTGACATGCGTGAGACCACCCCCTATATGAATGGACTGACCCCTCGGCACCCGAAGCAAAACACCACAGTGCTGCGGAACCAAATCGAAGCACGGAGTGGTCCGCCAGCTGGTGAGGGCATATTTTGCAGCACTCCCACGACATCTAAGACAACTTCTCCCGTCCTCGGAGAGCTGATGCTGGGGCGCAAAAATGGACAGGGCCGCAGGAGAGGGGGGGGGCAGGCGCGCTTTTTTTACCACTGGGGACCGTTTTTCAGCAACCATGGCGTCCAGGGTGGACCTGATGAGCCGCTTCCTGACAAGAATCGCTTTGTGTTCAACTTGGGCGATGCGAGACCTGACAGGGGCGGGGACGCGGCACTCCTTGGCGGCTGTACCCGCCAACTCGTCCGCTGCTGTGTTCCCGAGAACAAGCCAGAGAGGATGGGTACCCGAGACAGCCTGGGCTGCGGAGATGTGCGATGGCACTTGAAGAACTACAACCTCAGAAAATTCACGCTGCTCGGCAAGCTGGCCGAGCTCATGCCACAAATCCTGATTCTCCCCCTTACTGTCAAGGAAGCGTTTGCTATACCACCCTGCGCTCACCGACTCGTTGTCGGTCACAAAAATTGTAAAGCCTCTACTAAAACGAATCGCAAGAATTAGTGCCATTAATTCCCCCCTGGGCACCGTCTGTTTGGGGCCGTGGAGGGGGCCTCGGATCGAAACATCGACCTGGAAAGGTTCAAAGCACGAAACCGAAACGACTCCTACACCTACCCTGCGCAGACGGGGGTCCCTAGAGTCCTCGCCCCCACTGGAGTCCCCAACCAGGAAGTTGGGGCTCTCCTGGGATCCTAGGCCGAGGGTGTGAGGGCCTAACTCGTTGGAACCACTGAAAATCCACGATGGCTCAGAGGGAGGCGGGGGCACATTGGTCCAACTCCCTGGGATGATCCCTCTGAGCCAAAAGCAGGCGTGAGACTCGTGTTGAGCCACCGCCTCCGCAGTCAGGTTGTCTGACTGGTCATATGCACGGGAGCCGACATTGCAACTGCACAACCACGATCTGTGTAGAGGCGTCTCCGCCCCCTCCCCACATCTCGGGCAGGTCGCTGAGTCGATGCCCCCCACCTCGTCCATGATGCGCTGCCGCGGCCATGTGCCGCCTGCAGCCACACGCACCATTGTCTCTGCAAGCTGGTTGCCTTTCCTGGCTCCCTCAAGTACGCGTACGAAGTGACGATACGACATATTGTCAGCTCCCTCTTGGAGCCCTTCTCCACAGAAGTGGCGAGCCGCACTGGCCCACTGATGCGCACGAATAGCCTTCTCAAATTCGTCAACTAAGGGCGAGATGTCGTCCGACGGGCCCAGCTGACTGAAAATGAAGGCTGCACGGTCGAGCTCCCCTGCTGGTCTGGTGCCCCACTCCGACGGCGAAACTGGGTCCCACCTGTATTGCAGCAGGTATGTCACCAGCGCCGATAGAGGTCCCCTGACGTGACGGGAGCGCATCTGCGCAGGCATCGCGGTGAGCTTGGCGACAACGGTTGGCCATGCTCGAGCAATCCCTGCATGAAGTCGGGGCTCTGACTGCCAAGCCGTCAGCCACAACCGAACCATGTTGACTGGGAGCCTGTACCCTGGGTCCATGTCGGGGCACCTCACGTCAAGGACGGTCGTGAGGCAACGACCACGGCGAGACGAACTTGCGACCTGCCCCAGCTTCCTTCTCATACTAATCATACTCGAACCAAAGACACCAAGCACCTCGTGACCATAATGTCCAGCTGGCTGTGCTCCACTCTGCTCGAGCCGAACTGCTGGACGATACCTCCTGGATGCTCGTGCGAAGCGAACGATCTTGGAGGACATGGTGCCTGCCTTGGCCACTCGTTTGCGGGCTGTGGCTCGGGCTTGGCGGCCCGCTCCCATGTCGAGGCCTAAATACGCCGTCTGCAAGACGGGGATCACATCAATGCCCTTCACCTTCAGCCTGGAAGAAATAAACTTGGCATCCTGGAATTTGGAGCACAACACGACACTCTTCGCAGCAACCTCCAGGCCATCCTTGTCCAGTAGCTGGGCAGTCTGGTGCAGCACCTGAACCATGACCTTCCGAATAGTCCGCCTTGAACTGGCCAGCGACTGCGACAGGTCGTCAATCCACAGCCTCATGTCGACCAGGGGGTGCCTCTGAGACATCTGGTCGAGCACGAAATACGTCATGCAGCGGGCGAAACGTGTCCCGCTGCGCAGTCCTTGGATAACGCTCCTCGTGGGCTGGAACGCTTCCGAAAAACAGTCACGCGCTGCCAAAGTGCGTGCTGCGAGGCATAATTGGAGTTCGAGATAAAGTACAGCTGGAGGAAATCCTAACTCTAAGGCCTTGGATACCAATCGGATCCAACATATACTGTCATAGAAGCTCTGTATGTCAAGCAGACCGTTGGCAAAGTCGATGCCGAGCAGGCTGTGCACCTCGTCGCTTAGAGCTCTAGCAACCCCCTCGCGGAGTGCAGCATTGCCTGTCACCGCGGCATCCCAAAATGGTTGCGAGTCAGTCGACCAGGAACGGATCCACGGCTCTCTCGACTTCGACCATATCCGTGGGACCATGCCCACAAGTCCGATGATGCGATCTCCTCCTGATTTTTTCTCAAGCATCCTGCCGATGGTAAGTAGTAGTTGCCACGGCCAAGTCAGACAAGCCTCGGCGTCGTTGAGGAGCTGAGCTAACTCATCCAACCCTTCGGCAGGTAGACGTTCGACGTCTAAAGGAGATAGGCGATCAACACCTTGGCCCGCGCGGGGCCGCATACAATGAGCTGCCTCCTGGAGCATGGGCCCTGTCAAAGCTGGTAGGGCTCGAAGGTCAGCTTCAGCTCGGATATCGTCCAACACTCGGAACAATCTCTCGCCGTCGAAACTGGTACCACTACTCCACAAATCATGCCATCGCGTGACCTTGCGGTCGATGATAGCCTTGGGATGATGGAATACTTCGCCTTGCAGCACTAGCTCCTCGACTGGGGGCGGAGGTGACTTGATAGCCTTATGTAGAACAGGTAAAGCCGCCTCCGATGCCATCCAAGTGCGAAACTCCTGCAGCGATGTACGAAGCGCCTTGCCTCGGGCCCTTCTCGCTGCTCGGCTTGCAACATCAATCATAGACTTGAGTCGTGGGATGTCAATATCCATTGGTCGTGCTAGCAGGCTGATCCAACTATGCCAATCCCACTTCTCAGAAAGAAACATATGTGCCGTGGTCGGGTAGTCGGTGATGAGGCGTTGGCAGGCGTCCACGATTGCAAGGCACTGCTTGGCCCCGTTCTGGCGCTCAACGTGCTTGAGCGCCCTCTCGAGGATCGTGGACACGCGGCCCCACCACGACGTCGCCTGGTCCATCAACGGCTGGGCCCGTGACTTCTCAGGCATGTGAACTTCACGCACAACAAAATGAGGTCCATCCCCTCGTCTCGGCCCACGAAGGTCCTGTCCGCGGCGACTCTTGATGGTCAGCTCAAGCGTTGACACCCAAGCTGCATATCTGCCACTGAGCGCATCGATGTGTTGTGCGCCCGCTCGAAAAGCAAGGGAGTCCCTGGCCACAGGCCAGGTGCAGGGGGCTGAGACGAAGCCAACATCAGAACGATGCTTGAGCCAAGATGAGGACGGAATGGAGAACGTTGGGAGAGGATCAGCAGCAGCATCAGCATTACTGACAGGGGTTGCCGAGGGGTCTGGGGTATCCCTAGCACGCTCCACATCATTCTGCTGAGACTGCCCACGCTCCACGGGGAGAGAAAACGAACTAGATGAGGCCCTGGGGCCAGGGGAGTCTAAACTGACAGGCTGAAATCCAGAGCCCAGACTCCCAGGCGCAGAGAGCTCCTGGGCCCCGTCACGCGCCCCAAAGTTGCTCTCGCTGGCCCAGGGGTCCTCTTCTTCGCCGGGAAATTCAAAACAGTCGAAATCTTCAAAGGGATCTGCAAACGGGTCCACTTCGTGACCACGCTCGGCCCTGCCACCTACAGTATTCGGATGGGAGGGCGGCTCCTCGCCAAAATCCTGCGAGCCTATCTCGCCAGGCGGCGCCGAGCCAGGCCCCCCTACCACATCCCCAAAAAGATCATCGCATTCTGCGCGGACCTTCTCCCGAACAGATGCTGCTTGAAAGGCGCGTTTCTTCTTTGCCGTAGAGGACTTGGAGCCAGGGGAGGGGAGGGAGGAAGGACGAGGGACCTGGGGCAACTTAGACGGGAGCTCCAGAGTGCGGGTGAGCAACTGGGCCCCCTGGCCTCGGAACCTCAGAAGAAGACCACAATGTGTTTTCCACGGCACGTCGGTGATGGCCACCAGATCTATCACATATGGAATGAAGCTTGTGCTGGCAAGCGCAAAATCGCGCACGGTGCCTGCACTCTTACAACTGGCCGTGCAGGTGACACTGGTGTTGGATGCTGACAACACAACGCCATCGACTTTCGAAACAAAACCTTGCTTGCGGATGTCATCTGGAGCCACGTTCCAGTCTGCCAGAACAATCCAAGGAAGTTGAAGACTACGGAGAAGCCCTCCGAGTCTAGCGAACCGTTGAGTGTTGCGAGCGGACCAGCCCTCCCCCGAGAAGCCGTAGAAGCTCACAGCAACAAAAGAGAAACCCTTCATGCCCACCACCGTCGCATGGAAGCCATCGAGCATCTGATGACCTGGTACGAATAGCTGGGACCATGAGCTAGCTAATGACGAAATACTGCGATGCCCTTGTGCCAGCGTCCATTCACCTCCCTCATTGGAGCGATGTTCGAAGCCAGCTTGAACAGGGAAACCATTGGGGCGAGCTGGGTTGCCAAGGAGCCTCAGGCCCGCCTGACGGGCCTTCTTCTGCCACTCGCCCATGCCGTTGGAGTCGACATGAGTCTCCACCAGCTGCACGTAGTTGAACACTGGATGTTGATCAGAGACAATGTAGTCCCACGCCTTTGGCCCAGCAACAGTGATGTTAGCAAAGAACATAGTACATACATTGGTCTCTTCCCCAGCCGACTCGGAGTCGGCAGCGCCCTCAGCCGAGGCAGGCGTCGCTGTGCCAGTCGACGGACTCGGCGTGGCGGCGCGCCTCGGCTGCTGGCCTCACTGGGGCCCTCCGCCCCCTGCGGCAGCCGCTGGGCCATCGGCCGTGGCTGCCGCACGGGCGGCCTTGGCCGCCTCCATCTTCGCCGCGGAGATGCGCGCCGCGGCCTCCTCGATCCTCTTCTGCTTGCCCTCCTCGGACTCCGCGGGCGCCGTCTCCTCGGCAGCAGGACCATTGGCCGTCGCGCCCTGGCCCTGGCCCTGCTGGGGCGGAGCCGCCGCGGGCGCCCCGCTGGAGCCCTTCCTCTTCTTGGCCATCCTCTCGGTGATGGCCGCCTTGAGCTCGGCGGTGCGAGCCTGCCAGTCCTTCACCTCCGTGTGCTTGCCCTCTACGAGCTGCTGGGCCTCGCGGAGCTGCCGCTCGAGGTCCCTGAGCTTGGCAAGCTCGTCGCCTTCCAGGTCGAGCTTCTCTAGCTCCTGGAAGAACTGGTCGTCTATGTCGAGCTTGAACAGCACCTTCTGCTCAGGCGCCGCTGGTGTGGCGGCAGGCTGGGTCAGGCCCATCTGCTTGGCCAGGGTGGTCGCCGCCGCCCTCTTCGCCTCCTCGGCGCGGGCGAGGATGAGCGACGTCTCCCGTTCCTTGGCTTCCGCCTTCTCTAAGTTCTCGCGTGCTTTGATAACACTCTGAACTGCTTGGTCGTGGCGAACCGTAGCATCCTTCCAAGCCCCCGAGGCATGCTTGATCTGCTCCTCGGGGGACATAATGGGGCGGAGAGCCTCGCGCTTCTTCTGCAGCTCGTCGGTGAGGAGTTTCCTGAGGAGCGGGTCAGCCGTGGCGGTCAGAGTCTTCTCCATCAGCGAGATCTCATCCTGCGCTTTGCTGCCCTTGCCCCCGTCGTTGCTCTGCTTGGTAGCTCCCTTGACGACGCTGAGCTGCAAGGCCTGCGAGGTCTGATCCCCCCCCTTGGCCTTCGGCTGGTAGAGCTTCACCTGCCGCCCGCAGCGGCAGCGCCTGTCGTGCTGCAGGAGGACATGATTGTACTCATCCCTTCCGCAGCCCTTGCACTTGGACCAAGGTTGAGACATCTCGATCTTAGCCAGACCGATCTTCCACCTCACAATCAGACTGAAGGGAATCTGATGGGAAGCGGGCGACGATCTGCCCCTCAAGCCCCCACGTGGCGGGGTCGAGGCCTGGGGCACCTGCCAAAATGGTTTGGGCCCAGGTGGCTTGAGAGGAGGAGGAGGAGGAGGAGGAGGAGGAGGAGGAGGAGGAGGAGGAGGAGGAGGAGGGGGAGGGGGAGGAGGAGGAGAGGAGGAGAGGAGGAGGAGGAGGAGGAGGAGGAGGAGGAGGAGGAGGAGGAGGAGGAGGAGAGGAGGAGGAGGAGGAGGAGGAGGAGGAGGAGGAGGAGGAGGAGGAGGAGGGGAGGAGGAGGAGGAGGAGGAGGAGGAGGAGGAGGAGGAGGGGGAGGAAGGGGAGGAGGAGGAGGAGGAGGAGGAGGAGGAGGAGGAGGAGGAGGAGGAGGAGGGAGATGACGACGACGACGACGACGAAAGCACCCTCCCGTTCCAAGCTCACTCCACCTCAGTCCCTACTGGCATTCTCTTTCACTACAAGAAGAACGCTTTCTCTCTCACTACGAGAAGAGCCTGCCGTTCAGACGGTACGAAACAAAAAGTGCCCTGCATCCTGCCAGCGGCACAAGTAATGCGGATGGCATGACCATACAGTTCAACTAGTCTTCAGCAGAAGACGCCCCCCATCTGTGCAACTGCTGCAAAAGTTACACATCCAATCAGGCACGTCGAGGAAATACGAAGCGAACACCCCATTTGAACATTTGAAGAAGAACCGCCCTCGTGCAGCTGTTACGCATGTTCAAATGTCTGGTCTTCCTGTTCAGGGAAGACCCAAGCGAAAACCCCACTGTGAAAAGGAACCGCCACTCATCCGTGTAGTGTTGCAAACTTACAAAGCGAATGTGTACGGCGTCAAGGCGAGAGTCCCATCTTGAAAACCGCACGCCGTTCATCCTTGAAGCTGCTGCAAGGACGAGAGCTCCATTTTGGAAACCAGCCGCCCTCCATGCCCGTGCCTGCTGTGGCTTGGAAGCGGATGTGCGCGGCGCTAAAGCGAAAAATGATGTTTGAAGATGGCCCGCCCTCCCATCGTTGTAGCTGTTGGACATGTCAAATTCCAGAATCATGCGATGCGAAGGTGTCTCAAACAAAACGACCGGCCCGTCCTACTGACCCGTCTGGTGGTCAGACAACGAGGAGAGGCCATCTACAAGAGAAAGGGAGATGGGGAAGAGGATGAGGAGGAGGATGAGGATGAAGAGGAGGAGGAGGAGGAGGAGGAGGAGGAGGAGGAGGAGGAGGAGGAGGAGGAGAGGTGAGAAGCAAGAAAGAGGAACTATCCGCTGAACTATCCGCAAGTGATGACACCCCACGGGGTAGCGGCCACCCCGCGACGTGTGCCAGCACGCCGCAGGGTCAGGAGGAGGATAGTCGAGGCTGTACAAATAGGACACGGGTAAAGTGTTACCGTTTGCGTGCCCTACGAAGACGCATGAATTTAATGGGGCTGGGTAAGCACCCCTTTCAATGGTATGGAATCTCGCTTGCGCCCCCCCGCCCCACTATGGTTACGTCAGGAGGAGGAGGAGGAGGAGGAGGAGGAGGAGGAGGAGGAGGAAGAGAGGTACGAGGAGGAGCAGGAGGAGAGGGGAATGGCAGGACGAGGAGGAGGAGCAGCAGGAGGGAGAAGCCGGGACGGACGTGGCATCGATTGGGCTGCCCGACACCCGCTGCACTCTCGGCGCGGACGCCGCCCCCGGCGCCTGCGCGGGCGCGCGCCCACAGGGCGGGGCGGCCTGCTTCCTCCTCCTCGTCCTCCTCCTTCTCCTCCTCCTCCTCCTCCATCCACCGCCCCCTCCTCCATCCCACTCCTCCTCCTCTCCTCCTCCTCCTCCTCCTCCTCCTCCTCCTCCTCCTCCTCCTCCTCCACTGCCAGCTGCAGCCCCTACCCGCTCTACCTCTGACAAAGCGGGGCACCTCTGCGGATGGGGGACCCCAGGGCGCCCCCGGGGCACTGGCCCCGAGAGGCCAGGGGACCCGCAGGGAGATGGGCCCTGTACGACTGGCCCAGCGGGCGCACCACGAGCCACGCTGCTACACACACGCCGGCCACACCATACCCCGTTCTCTGGAGGTTCTGCTTGATGCTCTTAATGCGATGCCCCTCCTGCCTCCCCCTTCCTCCTGTTTGTCTACTCAAACTTGCCGTTCTACTTTCATGCTCTACTTCCCCAGGGCGGCAGCGTGCGGAGCACACCCGTGCGATCAGAAAATCAGGGGGAGCAGGTTGAGGAGGAGGAGCAGGAGGAGGAGGAGGAGGAGGAGGAGGAGGAGGAGGACCTTCCCCCCACATCTTTCCTCCTCTTGTTGCCACGCCTCCTTCCGCTGTGGCGCGCTGGCGCCTGCGGAACTGCGGCAGGCTTCTGGAGGCGCTGGGGCGTGGAGACCCCTGGGAGTTCGGCCCTCCTCCTCCTCCTCCTCCTCCTCCTCCTCCTCCTCCTCCTCCTCCTCCTCCCTCCTCCCTCCTCCCTCCTCCCTCCTCCCCCTCCTCCCTCCTCCTCCTCCTTCCCTTTCCTCCTCCTTCCTCCCCCTCCTCCCTCCTTCTCCCCCTGTGCGCGGCCCGGGGGGGGGGCCAGGAACGCAATGAAAGAAGAAGAGGCGGCATGAGATCCGAGGAGATGTCATGGCCCGCGCCATGAGATCCACCCCCCTCGTCATCACCCCCCTCTTTGCCGCCCCCGACCTTCGCTGCCGTGAGCCGGAGGGACCCCGAGGGAAACGGACCCCGGGCCCCGCCCCCAGTTGGGCGCGCACCGGCCACGGCGGACGGCACGTACCACCTGCAGGTGCCTCGAGGGCTGGCGCCCCCTGCGCCCGATCGGGCCCGCAAGGCCAGGAGCGCCTCCTGGGATTGGCCCTCCGCCCCGAGCCGTCCTCTGGACGGTCCGGGGGGGCCCGGGGAGGCCCTCCCGGGAGGAGGAGGAGGAGGAGGAGGAGGAGGAGGAGGAGGAGGAGGAGGAGGAGCGAGCGCATGAGGGTGACGCGCCGAGTCAGGATTCAGGACAGGCATGGACGAATGAAAAAGGAGAGCAAGCACAATCTCTCACAGAACATTGTGATAACATAAGATGGGTCAGCCCGTACTTACATCATCAGGCACGGGCCCAGTGGGCCCCGAGCGGCAGAGAAACCTGGCCAGGAGGGCCGACCAGGGCAGCACAGGATGGGGGGCGATCAAAACACCAGCCCCCCATCACCAGAAACATAACGAGCTGAACACAAATTAGGTTGTGAGACAGGAGGAGGAGGAGGAGGAGGAGGAGGAGGAGGAGGAGGAGGAGGAGGAGGAGGAGGAGGAGGAGGATAGGAGGAGGAGGAGGAGGAGGAGGAGGAGGAGGAGGCCGACGGGGCGAACATGGCCTCCGCCAGGCCCCCCCTGTGCCTCCAGAGCCCTGCGGCCCGTGGCTCACGGCCGGGGTGGCCGAGCACGGGGCACAGAGACCCGACGGCTCCTCCCTCTCGGGGCCCCTCTGCCCTGACATCGGGGGCTCCGCCGCGCGCTTCGGGCGATGCTGCAGGCAGGGCGGCACTTCCCGCCCTGCAGTCATCGGCCTGACCTAAGAAACGATCAATAGGAAGCGAACCCCCTTGCATTCCAAGGAATAGCGCCCGAGGAACGAGATATCATAGATAGCGCACAAGGAACGATAAATGACGCGTGCAAGCCTGAGGAACGACCGAGCCCCTTTCGAAAAGTAAGTGTTCCTGATTCAAGCCGATCTCTGTACTTTCGAGCTCATTTGATGCCCATGCCCGCCTCACTTTGCCGTCGCTGTTTCCGCTGTATGTTTGCGGACATGTCTGCGCTACGTTTTCTGAGACGCGAGTTCCCGCCCTACTTTTTCGCATCGCTCGGGATGCACGTCAGACATATCTTTAATTGGAGGATCTACCAAGCTACGGCGGATCCGAAATCAGGGTGGCTCAAGGCGCCCACCCCGCCCCGTTGCGGGCGCCCCCGGCCTGGGTCAACAGCCGCCGGAGTTCCTTCGCCTGATGGCGGCGCGCCAGAGGGGGGTGGGGCGAGGAGGATCGGCCCTCGACGAAGGCAAGAGCAGACATCTGGCGCCTCGTGAAAATCGAGGCGGCCAGATTGTCATCACGTCTGGCCTCTGGAAGCGAGTCTTCCTGGCCCCAGGGCTGTGACAAGAACCGCTCGGGAAGAAACAACGGCCCAGGGGAAGGTGCCGAGAGGTCCGGGGGCCTCACTAGACGGGGTCGGAGGATCGCGCCGCATCGGCGATGCGTCGACCATGCACTGGCGCTGTCAGCGATGCATCGGCGACGTGGAGAAAATCGGGCTCCACATCGAGCCGCATCGTCGATGCATCGCAGATGTATCAGCGATGCTGCGCGATCCTCCGACCCCATCTACTCGGACCTCATCCAGGAGGCCTAACTAGACTCACGTGTCAAAGAAAACGAAGCGCAGGATGTATTGGGTGGGAGCTTCTCGGCAGAGACCGGCGGCCTCTGGGAAAACGCCTCGGAAAACATGCGGGCGGGCTTCCAGGAGGCCCCTATGCCTCCTCGGACGCCGCTCTCGCCCCAACTCGAAGTCTAGCGTCGCGAACGACCAAAATTCGCCCCCCCCCCCCCCCCCCCCTCCCGCGCAAAAAGCGCAACCAAAGGGCAAAAGCTCCATCTTGCTGCCGCGTGCTCCGAACTGGGCCGGCCTGCGAGGCACCCTGGGACCCGCCGTCCTCATCGCTCTCCAGCGAGGCCGCCGTGGAGCTCGCATCAAGACGCCCAAGGTTGCGCGGCAGCCAGCTCCTTCTCGCAAGCCGATGGCAAACTGAGGTGCTGCGTTACAATATGGCAAATTGCGGTGAGGAAACAGGTGGATGTCGATGATGGCCAGCTCCTCACCCTGCCACGAAACATGCCATTAATGCGAACGCTTTCTAGGAACCACGCGATACCCCCATATATGGTCCTGGGCTCCGGGCCCACGGCCCCCCCCCCAGATGGTATGGTCCCAGGATTCCTCGGGCCCCCCCCCCAGATGGTATGGTCCCAAAAACGGCGACGACGACGGCGACGACGACGACGACGACGACGACGACGACGACGGCGACTACGACGACGACGACCACGTCGACGACGACGACGGCTGCGGCGGCGACGACGCCGGCGGCGGCGGCTGCGACGACGACGATGACGACGACGACGACGGCGACGACGACGATGACGACGACGATGACGACGACGACGATGACGACGACGACGACGAGGACGACGACGACGACGAAGACGACGACGACGACGACGACGACGACGACCTCTGAACCACCACAGCACCACACCACATCCACAGGGGGGGGGGGCACCGCAGCGCAGCACCACGCCACGCCCACAGGGGGCGGCGGGCGGGACCATCGCACGGGGGGGGGGGGGGGGCATGGCATCAGCATTGGGCGGGGGGGGGGGGGCCCAAGCCCTGGACCATATATGACTGCATCAATGAGGAGTGCGCGTCGGCGCTGCCCACGCTGCGACAGCTCCCGCGCGCGCGCGCCATGCCAGGGAACCGCCCCCGACAGAGAAGCCAGAAGCCCCAAACCATCGCGCCGCGCGATTGTTCTCGCATTCCACGGCATGGCCGACGAGGCGCGGGGCCCTCGTCGGCGCGGAAGCGACTTGAAATCGATTTCGACGGCTGGCGGCGCCTCGGCCCATCGCACGTTGAGACCAGAAGCTGCAGCGCCATCTGAAATACTCCAGAGACGCGTGGGCCTGCCCAGCTCACGGAGACGGAGCGCCATTCTCGCAGCGCACCACCGCCCCAGTCGGGCACGCGGATCTTCTGCGCAACCTCCGCCGAGATGCCATGACCAAGAGCGAGAACCCCACCCGTTCGCAGCTTGTCTTCCGCGGCCTTGAACGCTCTCGAGACCCAGTCAGAGCCCTCGCGTGACCCCGCCGACTTGCAAGTTGCACGCAGAAGCTGGGTAACCTCAGCGGCGGGGCTGGTGCACGGGAACCGCTGTTCTTTGCTATATTTCAGCCGCCTCCACATCGCATGGCTGCACCTGAACTTGATCTCGCCTAGACCCGTGTACTGACCGGGCGCGGATGCGCCCTCCGCGTTGGCAGCCGCCGCGGCGATCGCGCACGGCGCATTCGCAATCTCGCCTCGCCCCGCGTCAGCCTTGAACCCTCCAGCGACCGCAGCGCGTGGATTTCGAGATTCCCACAACAAAGATAGCCACCGGCTCGAACGCCACCGCCGGCGCCAGCATAGCGCCCACGGAGGACGCCCACTTTACGCGTGTCGAAGCGACTGCTGGCAGTAGATGCGAAGGCAGCGGCCTCCCCGCGTCTCGCGCGAACGTCAGCAGCAAAACCGCTCACGCTTGCAGCTGCAGCGTCGGCCTCGGCACTCAGGCTGGCGCCGATGACTGCGAGGACAGCGTTGCCTTCGGCACTGGGGGGCGGCTGGGCAGGGGCAGCTGCGCAACCGGAGAAGGCTGCGCGCAGATCCTCTACGTCGGCCCCAGACAAAAAAACGGCGCGCGGAACGTGTCTGGCCATAACTGCAGGGGGGCGCAACGGGGGGCTCCTCGCCCATGCAATGCCCTGCGCGAGGGCAAGCGGACTGCGCGCGCGGGCGCCCGGGAAGC